TAAGTACATGTTGTTAACACTTCTTCCAGTGGAATAGTACTTTAGAAATGTTTCATATGTCTCAGTTCTCACTTTACATCTTTAAGGCTTATCAAAATTATCAAAATGTTATCAGGAGAAAAAGTTGCAATACGCAGTTTTCTAAAAAAAAAAGGAATTAAAAAGGATGAACTCCTATCATGACACATTTCAGGAAGGAAGGAAGGAAAATGCCATTTAAATAATTTATTGCTCTTAAAAAAACATGTGTGAGAGGATTATTCTTTGTCATATATCAGGCTGTGCTTGCGTATTTTTTGCCAAGAGCTATTTTTTACAATATTATTTTCTTATGTATGGCTGTGAACGTTTCAGAAACAAATTTGAAATGAGCAGCTTAAATATTCGCACTGCCTCTTTCCTCCTCCTGTCTCCTTCTTGAGCTTGCCACTAGGACTGGAGTTTAGCACCTCTTTGTCCATCACTTCCACCACCACCCATATTTCCTCACCCTAAAGAGGAGAAAGCTCCTAGTAAAATGCCACCACTAACTTTCTATGGTTTTGTTGTCTCCTATCTGACACTTTTAAAGGGAGAGGATTTTGCACCTGGGACAACAGCCAAGATTTTGTAGAAGTTTTTCCTTTTAAACATTTGTGATGAAAGGAATGGCCACTGCTAATGATCTGATAGTGACACAATTGTGCTCAGTTAAAAAGAGAGTTAAAACAAACAATATCTGTCCCTCAATAATTAAACGGATTTTTGAATTATTATATCTAGGCCTTGTCCTAATGATGTATTTATTTGGGGAGGAGGGAGAAAGTAAACTTCGGAAATGCTAGAAGAATCGAAGTTGTGTTTTTGATCTTAAATATGAACAATTATTAGCTTCATGCTATTTGTGGATGCTAGAGATATGCTGCATTTTCTTGCAACCCAATTATACGGAAAGGAGTTCGGTGGCGCAGTGGTTAGAATGCAGTAGTTCAGGCTACTTCTACTGACTGCCAGCTGCCAGCAATTTGAATCTCACAGGCTCAAGGTTGACTCAGCCTTCCATCCTTCTGAGGTTGGTAAAATGAGGACCCTGATTGTTGGGGGCAAGAGGCTGACACTGAGAGAGGACTGTAAAGTGGTATATAAGTCTTATTGCTATTGTTCTTTTATACTACACAGCAAAGTTGAGCAGAAAGCAGTTGGTTTCTAGAGATCCATCTATCTCATCCTAATTCTGAAGATAAGTCGAGCTTGAAAGAATCTGGGTTGCTAAAGGTGCATTTCCTTTATAAGAAATGTGTACCCACCCCCTAAAATTAGATTGATAGATTGTAATTTCAGGATAACCTGAATTTTACCCTAGGAGGCATTACACTAAGACTCAGAGAACTGAAAGGAAGCCAGTTGCTGCACATTAATACTCTCTCTTATCTTAGTGTTAATGTTGCTGTAGAAAATTAATGCTTCTGAGAGTACTGAAATGCCAGACAGCTATTTGCTACGGCTGTTCCCTTTCATTATGTTGTAGCAGGATAAGTTGTAGAATCCAAATAGGCATAGAATGCTTTAATCAGCATAAAATCAGAGCCCTGGTAGTGCAGCAGACTAAAGCACTCTTATTAACATCAGCTGCCTGCAATTACTGCAAGTTCAAATCTCACCAGGCTCAAGGTTGATTCAGCCTTCCATCCTTTCTAAGGTAGGTAAAATGAGGACCCAGATTGTGGGGGCAATAAGCTGACTTTGTATAAATATACAAAAGTATGAAGGCTATTGCTTAACGCATTGTAAGCCACCCTGAGTCTTCGGAGAAGGGCAGCATATAAATCAAATCAAAAAAAAAAAAAAACAGCACAAACTAACAAGCCAACTTGCAGGTTCACCAGAATTCTTCTCCCCCCGCCAACCGATGTTAAATTCCCTCTCTCACTTCCAGTAGCTTGTTAGGAGGGAGAAATGAAATAGAGGAAATGCTGTGAAGCCTTAATGAGGTACACCTGCCTATAAAAAATAACTTGTGGCATTTCTTGTGTATTGAAAGAGTCTTCATAGAGATCAGCTTCTAGGATGAAGTGGAACTTGTAAGTGGCTCTGTAAAAGGAAACTACATAAAATAAAGAAAGATGGATAGTTCCTATACTGTTGAACATTGGGAATTCTAAGTAATTGAAGTAGATATCACTTTCTCAGTTTTAATGGTGTCGGATGCCTTCCACGGTCTTTTGTTGCCTGAAGCTATAGGCAATTAAACATCACAGAATCTCTAGGTCCAAATAATGCAGGTCAGGGTAAGCAACAACTTGAACAGGAGCAACTTCAACTGGGATGTCCATATCCAAATAGGGCAGCTTTATTAATGAAACCAGGATGCTCACATTTTTACCACCCAACTTCAAATAGTCACCTCATTTCTAAAAGACATTGACTTATTCACAGTGTCTATTCTAGTCTCAATCTTTTCCTAGAGATATAGAATCCCCAGCTGTCTTTTCAGTTAGATTTTTTTTTTGGTGAAAAAGTAATCTGCAGATAAGGTTTTAAGATCCAGACTATCTGAAGATTATTTTTTATTAGATTTTATCCTGCCTTTATTTTATGAGTAACTCAAGGCAGTGAACATATTTAATACTCCTTCCTCCTCCTATTTCCCCTAGAACAACCCTGTGAAATGAGTTATTAATTAATTAATTTATTTTATTATACTTATATGCTGCCCTTCTCCCAAAGGACTCAGGACGGCTCACAAAAATTAAAATGATGAAAACAATAAAAATAACTACTAAAATAATCAATTAAAATCTCCCAATTAAAATCACCCATCAGATCAGCAGATTTGTTGAAAAAGCCATGTTGAGTTAGGCTAAGAGACAGTGACTGGCCCAAACACACCGAACTGGCTTTCATGATTAAGTCAGGATTAGAACTCTAGTCCCCTGGTTTCTTGCCCAACACCTTAACCACTAGCCCCAAAATGGTTTTCAGTGTGCTTAAATAGCCCCTGAATTGAATCTCACAGCCTCTAGAGCAGGGGTCCTCAAACTTTTTAAACAGGGGGCCAATTCACGGTCCCTCAGACTGTTCGGGGGCCAGACCGGCTGGGTGGGCGTGGCTAGATACTCATGTGACTGGGCGTGGCCAATTTAGCAGTCCAAACAATACACACAAATTAAACTTTAATTTGTTATGCTCCTGAGGGTAGAAAGCAGGATAGTGAAGGGGTGTGGCTGCCTTGGGGTGTGTATGAGGGACTTGTGTGTGTGTGTGTGTGTGTGTGTGTGTGTGTGTCCCTCTCTCCCTCTGGAGGCCAGGGACCTCCCCGGCCTCCAGTACCTCTCTGCCGCCCAAAAATGGGCCCATTTCTGGCCTCCAGAGCCTCTGCACATCCCGGTTTTGGCCTCCCCGGCCTCCAGAAGGCAGGTGGGGGCCAGTGGATAGGCGGGGTGATGTGGGGGGGGCAACCTCATGGTCCTGTGTGGGCCGGATTAATGGCTTCGGTGGGCCATATCTGGCCCCTGGGCTGAAGTTTGAGGACCCTTGCTCTAGAGGTTAAAAATAAGGTGTGGATGATACCAGTTTCAGCTATAACTTTTAGTGCTTGAAATAAAATAGCTGAGCTGAACACTGAGTGATTTCACAAAAATGTACTGATTTTCTATTCTTGAGCCATCTGTACCATATGTTTAACCCTTTCTTTCCAATTGCCTTTTGCTGCTGCACTTGCCTTCCAAATGTGCTAGTCCATAGCTTTACGATAGAACTAAAGTAGCTTAGTGGGGAAAGTTTCAGATGAAAAACAGCCGAGGGACACTACATAATTCCTCCCTTCAAGAAGTATTTTACATCAGGAAGCTTTGTTATCTCATAATCTAAGCTTTGTTACCTCATAATCTAAGCTTTGTTACCTCATAATACAGCATCAGACACGTTTATTGTTTGCTAATGCAGAAGTATTGTTTCCTGATTTGCTTACTTTAATTCCTCAAATTAGTTCAACACCTCTATAGAAAACATTTATGTGAATTGCATCCTTAGCCAGGCATAAATCTACTTTCTGGCTTCATAAATGGCAGTGGTGTTTTCTTCATTGCAACCAGTCCTCTGAAGATGTGATATGACACATGGGGATTTATATATAGAAGCAAATTCCATTTAAATTCTTTTTATCCAGTTCATTTCTGAATCAGAGCTGATGGCCCTTTTTGAATCTCTTGGAATGGTCAGGACTCAGTCTTCTTTGGTGGTCTCCTCTCACAGCTGGCTAGGCAGGCATTGAACATTGGAGTAGAGTCACTTCCGGAAAACCCTAACAGCAGAAGTGAGGCAGAGGACAAGAAGGGAAAATGGCTTAGTGGTTGCAGTATTTTGATCTATTAGATGCTCCATATGGAAAACCTCACTGGGCTATTATGGCAGCAACAAGAGGGATGCTTTTTTTAAAATTCTCCTGGACTTTTCACATCCTTTATCTTTTAAGCAAGTAAATTCTAGTTTTGGTTTATAATAGTGAATCTTTAATTCTGTTTTAAGCCATATGTAAGCCACTGAATGCCACTTCTCTTTTTATTTTACTAGAATCAATTCTAATATAAAATGAACTAGCCCTAAAAACACATATAAGGTGCTCAGAATAAACCTCAGGCTTAAACCCTCCCCTTACACGCACACATTCCTCCACACATATTTTTTCAGACTTTAGCTGGACATTCCGATATTTGAACCCTCTATCTTCCATCCCAAAACTAGTCCAACTAAGAAAAAGAGTTTATTATTTTACTATTTCTGAAAATTGCACCGTTTTCTTATTTTTTCCAAACTCAAAGCAAAGATGGGACATATTTATTTATTCTTCTCCAGAAACCTGCCATGGTTTATTAAAGATGAAAGAACCCGAAATCCTTTTTAAAACCCTGAAACATATTCTGTACATTCTCCAGAATGAATCTAATCTAACAGAAAATTAGTATACATTGAGACTGTTTATTCTTACTCTGTTTATTAAAAATAGATTCTTGATTTCACAGATGCTGGGAGCTTAATGCTGGAAATATAAAATGGATATACCAAACTCCAATTTTAGTGGCTATTGGGGTAAGAGTACTCATATATATGTATCTAGTAAACATTGAACCTTGTTGTGTATATTAGCATCTGCAAAATGCTAGATGGTAGCAAAGAGTTCAAAGAAGAGCAACTAAGATGATCAAAGGCCTGGACACTAAATCATATGAAGAAAGGCTGCAGGATTTGGGTTTGGCTAGTCTAAAGAAAAGAAGAATTAGGGGCAACATGACAGCAGTATTGAGCGGCTGCCACAAAGAAGAGAGGGTCAAATTATTCTACAAAGCACCAGCGGGCAGGACAAGAATTAATGGTTGGAAATTAACCAAAGAGAGAAGCAACCTGGAATTAAGGAGAAACTTCCTAACAGTGAGGACAATTAACCAGTGGAACAACTTGCCTTCAGAAGTCGTGGGTGCTCCAGCACTGGAGGTTTTTAAGAAGAGGCTAGACAATCACTTATCTGAAATAGTATAGGTTCTCCTACTTGAGCAGGGGGCTGGACTAGAAGACTGGCAAGGTTCTATTCCTATTCCTATTCCTATTCCTATTCCTATTCTATTCCTATTCCTATTCCTATTCCTATTCCTATTCCTATTCCTATTCTATTCTATTCTATTCTATTCTATTCTATTCTATTCTATTCTATTCTATTCTATTCTTTTTTTTTTAATAAAAAAGTTTTTATTTTCTAATAACACAAGTATACAATATAAACAATCATTCAAACTATCATCAAGAAAAAGAAAAAAAAAATCAATCCTTGGTAATCTCAATCTTCAACCCCTCCTCACCCCCCCCCACCCCCGACTTCCCAGAACAGAAAACAGGGCATAGGTTTCACCAAACATTCGCTAAAATAAACTAACTAACTGCAAGATTTAATAACTCCCAAGACCCCTTAACTCCCCTTTTACAATTTCATCAACCTCCCTTTTTATAAACTCAAAATAGCGTATAATCCAATAACTCTAAAAGTTTTAAAACCATTAACAAATATTAAACATTCAAACCTTAAAAATTCTCTTAATATATCAGTAAAGTATTCAATTCATTTACAAAAACATTTTCCCCCTCCTACTTTTCTCAAAGTTCAGATATTTTTTTAAAATCTCATAACAAAAAATAAACCTTAAATATTAGTAGTTAAATTTCTTCATTTTTTAAGTTCCTAAATTTTCCCCCTTCATTATTCCTCCCTCCAACTTCTAGAATTTTAAAAAATAATCATCAACATAATTAACCATTAATACATAAACTAGAAAACCAAAAAGAATAATCTTACATTCAACCATTAATGCATCATATTTAAAAATCAATATTTAACTTTATGCGTTTTCCCCCTCAGTAGTTATAACACCTAAAACATAATCATTTTTAACCATGAGTAGAACAACTCTAAAAATTTTAAAGCCATTAACAAATATTAAACATTCAAACCTTAAAAATTCACTTAATATATCAGTAAAATATTCAGTTCATTTGCAAAAACATTTTCCCCCCTCCTACTTTTCTCAAAGTTCAGATATTTTAAAATCTCATAACCAAAAATAAACCTTAGATATTCAGTAGTTAAATTTCTACATTTTTTAGGTTCCTAAATTTTCCCCCTTCATTATTCCTCCCTCCAGCTTTTAGAATTTTAAAAGATAATCATCAACATAATTAACCATTGATACATCAACTAGAAAACCAAAAAGGGTTAATCTTACATTCAACCATTAATGCATCATATTTAAAATCAATATTTAACTTTATGCTTTTTCCCCCTCAATAGTTATAACACCTAAAACATAATCATTTTTAACCATGAGTAGAACAACTGCAAAGCCAAAAGAAAAGGTTAATCTTCCATTCTTACTTTCTTTTTATATTTTTTCCAGTCTTTCTGCAACCCTCCTACTTCTATTTTGAGGAGGCTTTTCATTTTGATTTGAGATTGATGTAGCTGCAAAGATTGTCCCCTTTTTAAGAAAATTTCCTCTGATTTAGAGCCCCCAAATCGCCTCTTCTTGCTTATATAAATCAGTTCATTCCTTCGTCTGTAGGACCAAAGTTTATCAAGAGTTTGTGAAAGAAAGTTCAGTTGTTTCTTTTCTATTAAATGTATAAATGCCACTGGCAAATCTCCTTCATCTTCTGAAACTTCGAAAGTCTGGTCATTTACTGCTTTTTTCCAAACCAAGTCATAATTTTGAAAGATTATATCAATTTTTTCAAAAAGAGCAGAGAATAAGCTCGAAAATTCTTGAGAAGATTCTTCCACCTTCTCTGCTACAATCAGAATATCTCCCGAATTGTCATCATGCTCCATTCTTGTTTTTGTCTCCTCGGTCATTTCTGTTGTTATCCCTTTAAGAATTGCTATTTGATTACTTATAGCTGCAGTGTGATTATTCATGGCTTCTTTTATAAATTCTGTAAATTCTGCATCAAAATCCTTATAGCTCTGTAAATCAGACAACTGTTCCATTTCTGACACCTCCAAATAGCTTCTAGCACTTTCAGGATCTTCTTTCTTAGAAGCCATTTTATTTTAAAAAGATTTCCTTTCTTCCCACAACCATAAAATCATAAAGTCAGAGCCATCCTTTTAAGCAGCTTTCAGCAATTTCTTTATAAATCACCAAACGAAATAATCTTTTCCCAAACAGCTCTTCAAAATCTATTCCAGCAACTTAAAGCCAGTCTCTGAGCACTTAGCGAAGACTTTCCTTTCTAACTTTCACTTTTAAAATCGCAACAAAGAAATGCCATCTTTACTTCCAGCTCAGCAAGTTCAATTAGAAACATTGTATCCCCGGAGTTAAGTATTATACTTGCAAAAAGCTTGTCCTCCTGCTTCTGTTCCGCCTGCTTTTTTGAAATCATTTAATCTTCTGTTTGACAGCAGAAATTGGACGCAACGCCTAGCTCTGTAAAAAAAAACAGAGTCCCCCCGGATCCGGAGCTTCAGTGGGCTGAACGGGGAGCTCTCACCCTCCTAACCCCTGGAATTAATCCAGGGGTTTTCGGGGAGCTCTACCCTCACCCACCTGCTCTCCTCCCCTTCTTTTCCCGAAGGGGAGATTTTCAAGCCGTTTGACAGCTGATTAGCGCTGTCAGAACGGCTCAACGGGATCGCGGGGGCGGCGGTCTAAAAAGACCGTCAATGGCGCTGCTGAGCCAACCCGGAAGTCCTCTATTCTATTCTATTGATATAGAAAATGACATCTATTTCTTACCATCTAATGATTATTCATATTTTTGCAGATTAGTTATGATAACCCTACCAAATGGACACCAACTATTTCCCCATCACTACATCATTCAGCATACTTACAACCTATATTTCAATAGTTTGAATATCCCTATGCTATTTTTTCAAGTTTGCTGAATCCCATAATTATATTTACCCATTAAAGAGAGGACTTGTAGTTCAGTATTTAGATGCTTCTTATGCAAATCTTAGGCTCAGTTCTTGGCTTCTCCAGATAGGATTGGGAAATCCTATCAGCAGGCAGACAAAAATTCTGAGTGAGAACATCTGACTTCACTTAAAGGTAGTTTTCTATATTCTTATTTTCAAAGAAAGTCTGAAAGTTGAAGCCCTTTCTCTTTTTCCAGTCTTTCAAGGGAAAGGAGAGGAGAGTGGCTTGAAAGTATAGCTCTATTACAATCAGATCTATTCCGCAGCTATAGTATTGCTACTTTCGTTTTTAATCCAGGAGCTTGCTCTCATTTGACAATTCCTCTTCCATACCCCTGGACAGTTTTTCTCTGTGCAAGAAAGCATTTTGGCTGGCAAAGAACTGAGCAATCACTTTTATTTATGCTTCTCTTTTTGTTTACTTTATGGAACAGGAGATGACGTTTTGTGTCACAATCAAGAGTGAGATGCTGTGACTGCTTTTGATATGTGAGAACAAAACACTCCTTCTCGGCATTCATGCCAAGTTATTGCACTACTTTTTTATTCTTTTGAGCTGCTTGAATTATTTCAACGCTGCACTCTTTCAAAGCTGCCACTTTAAATTGCCTATTGAAAGATAAAATTACATTTCCTCTTTTCAAAAAAGTAAAAGGTGCAGTTAAAATATGTTGTATTTCTTAAAGTCCTATTCTGTAGTTTAAGGAGCAAGGTGCATTGCTTTGTTGGGTATGCACATTGCTGGTGCATCTCTTGGGATGAATCCTGTGTTTCACCATCACCCCTGTAGGAAAACTCGCTGTGGCTAACTTGCCACAACCAACACACCCTGGGTGATTTACCCCAGGACAACTCATCTCAGGATAACTCAAGAGAGAGACAAGTGAATTGCAGCAGGCCTTGTCATGCTTTAGGTTTGAACCTTCTCAAGTTAGAAGTCCTCAAGGCTGGGGTGAGCTGCAATTCTATTTCTCCCCTCTTTAGTCATCCCGTGCTGAATTGTGCTGCAGCGAGTTGTCCTGTGATGAGTTGGCCACGGTGAGTTGCCCCATTCTGACTCCTATGTGCCAGTTCCTGATCCGGCTCACTTAGATAGCAGGGTAACTCAATACTGTTGGCATTACTTTCTTGCAATTAGTTGCAAATGGAAGTGTAAATATACTGGGTTTTTTTACCAAGCTCTAATACAGTGATGTATCATTTATTTTTTCATAAGTCTGTTCTAGCTTTTCTCCTTTCCAGTGTTCAGTGTGAAGTTCAGAAAAGAAGCATTTTGGCAACTATGTTTATTATTTAATAAAAATAAACATCAGAGTCTTAATAAAGGAATCAGTCTAGGAAGCAGTTAAATAAATGTGGCTGTCACTGTCTTGGTCAGTTTTATTCAAAAATAAAAGTCCTGTATTTTTCAACTAGCTTCTCAGAAGCTCTGCAGTAGCTTAGATCAAAACCGGAGAGCTTCCTAGATAGGTGGGATAAATTAAACAAATGTACTAATATTGGAAGTGACTCTGGACTTTTTATACTAATTCAGCTTTGCTGCCTGGTCATCTTGACAGTATTATGTTCCAGATAAAAGAAAGTGTTGAAATTACTGCATTACTGCTTTAGACAGAAAGGCAGTTCAGAGAGCGGTGACAATGGCAGAAAATATGTTTGGTAGATCACTCCCTTCTATCCAGGACAGCATATAAGTGATGCTTGAGTAGGGTATGTAGTATTGTCTAGGACACTAGTTATCCTCTTCATGATCTGTTTTCCCTGTTACCACCTGGGAGGAGGCTTCATGGTATCCGAAGCAGAGCATCTAGATTCAGCATAGTTTTGTTCCATATAACAACCTTGTGAACTGTCAAGTTTCCTCTTTCCGCTATGTATTCAAAATGGACAGTGATTTTTATATATTTATATACATATATATTTATATATTTATATATATGTGTGTATGTGTGTGTGTGTGTGTATGTTTTCATAGATTTTCACGGGTAGAGGTATGCAAGTTTTGGTGTATTCGGGTCTTTTCCCGTGTAAGATTGAGAGTATCTTGGCAACGTTTCAACGAGGTCCCACTCGTCATCTTCAGGCTGAGATGGCAGATCTGATCACACTTCTCTCGCACAACCACGAAGCCGAAGACACCAGCCTGAAGATGACCAGTGGGACCTCGTTGAAACGTTGCCAAGATACTCCCAATCTTACACGGGAAAAGACCCGAATACACCAAAACTTGCATATGTATATGTATATATATATGGGTGTATGTGTATATATATATATGTATGTATGCATGCATGTATGTATGTATATGTATACATACAGTATATGTATATGTATGTATGTAGGTCTTTGGTTATTCGGGTCTTCTCCCACGTAAAATTGGAAGTGTCTTGGCGACGTTTCGACGAAGTCTCATTCGTCATCTTCAGGCTGGTGTTCTCGGCTTCGTGCTTCCAGGAGCAATGCAGGATGCAAGATGACGAATGAGACTTCGTCGAAACGTCGCCAAGACACTTCCAATTTTACGTGGGAGAAGACCCGAATAACCAAAGACCTACATACAAACACCCGCGAAAACCTGAGAAAACAAATATGTATGTATGTATATATATGTGTGTATATATATGTGTGTGTGTATATAATGTATATAGCATGTGTACATGTGTGTTAGTATGTGTTCTCTTGAGAGCAGGCAACAGAATTTCATTTTTAATGTGGGCCAGTGTGCTCACAGTAAAAAAATGATAATAAAAGTTATCTTATCTATCTTATCTAAATATGTCCTCAAAACATTCCAAAACATACCTCTAAAAGATGATAGAATAAAACAATTCTGTTTTACAGCTGAACTTTGTCCTGTTCCTGAATACTGTGCGGGTGCTGGCCACAAAAATTTGGGAAACTAATGCTGTTGGCTACGATGTCAGAAAGCAATATAGGTATGATGTATTTCCAGAAGCAGTCTGTACTAGAACTGATTTGGGTCAGATACGATGTTTTTTGACTTGTAATGAAAAAGTCTTCTATTTGGAAATACCTTGGTTTATCTTTTGCTTGGAGAAAAGCCAAGTTAGACTCCTGAAGTTGTATAAAAAAAGGCAAAGATAATTTCCTTACTTTCTTAGATGGCTGGACTATACTGTATATAATGAGCTCAAGGTATAGGAGGATTAATTTGAGTTAACATTAAGAAAAACTTGTTTAAGATATTATAGCAGTCTTGGTCATGGATGTTCTCAGACAGAAGACAGGCAAAAATCTTCTTCCCTGAAATTTCTATATCATACAAACTTATGGTAAACAGCGCTAAACTTGACTGCAGAAAATACAACTTCAGTAACAGAGTCTATTTAGGGATACAAATTGCTAGCAAGTTTTGTACACCAAGCTCTGTATGAAATTAAACTTAAAAGAAAGTGTCAATGTTTGGGGATGTGGAATCATTTTTGACTCCTGGTGATTTTCCTGATTTTCTTGCAGATGTTTCATTAGCAAATTAGGTTATATCTCAATGCACTGGTGATGTTACCTAGATGTAATATTTATTACCTAGATGTAATAAAACATCTGCAAGGACATCATCAAGCTCAGAGAGCACAAAGGTCCCCATAGTTTAACCCCAAATTACAAATATCTTCTTCTATGGGAGACTTTTGACTCAGTAAATGCTGAACAAAACTTGAATGTGGCAGGGAAAGAGTTAAGGACATGATAGCTAAGGGAATAAAGCTGTGTTGCCACTTCCCTTCCTGCTCTAAGAATGTACTAATTTTGCATAATAGTTAATCCAGGACTAATTAAACCACATTTACTGCAATTTTTTGACAACAGAAGCAGTCTTCTAGTGAATAAACCTTTTATTCATCTAGCTCTTCAGGATTTTAGACAATGATGTTTACTAGTCTCCTCTGAAAAATATAGTAACTGAATCTTCTGCATGCAGAGGAGCACTTGATTTCTGAATGATGGCCCCGTCCTCGCCATAATTGCTCAAACAATCTGTACATTCCTTCTTGTTGACTTATCTAATCACATTTAAGCCAGTTTTACATGGAGATTCATGAATGTGTTAGTTTGCTGGCAGTTAATAAACTGGTCATTCCATTATCTGGATTTTCCAGTTGTATTTGATGAATAAAAAGGGATCACTATTCAAAAGAGATGATGGAGACATCTAAAATTTATTGTTAAAATACCCTGGCGTGCTGTGTCTCTTTTGACCAACTTGAAAGCAGCTAGCAATAATTTTGAAAACGTAACTACACAGATACAGAAAGGACATATAGAATGAGATGCAGACAGATTGTAAATCTATCTCAAAGTAAGGTTTCCAAATATTTGAAGTCGTCTCATGTAACTATTAAGATCTGTTTGTCAGATCAAAACTAATACTTACAAAAATATCCTAGATCCTCACACTGATTAAACATCCCTCTTACGCACACACCCTGCACACAAATAGAAATAAAAAAAATCAAATTAATATTCACCCAGGAGAAGCTGCTGACATGCTGTGCTTTTTATACAATGTGCTTTTGTAGTTCACTGAACTTTATAAACTGGTGCTCCCAATTAAAACTAGAAGCTTTTGGGTGTGTTGTTACTTTTTTTTTTTAAAGTCTTGCTATCAAGATAATTAAAGCTAGACATTGCAGGGGTGGATGGATAAATATGTGTTACCAAGTTCCATGCTGCAAACCAATTACCCTTAGGGAAAAAAAATACGAAGCAATGATATAAGCCACATTTAACTATGTTTATCTGATAAATAAAATCAGAGATAAAACAAAATAAGCAGCAACGTTCTGAATGGTAAACTGCTATTCTTGTTTCAGTTCTGCAACAAAGAGTGTATGTAATGTACAGGAAGAGATAGTCATGAGATTGTAGCAATAGGAAGAATGACAAACAACTCCAGAAATATTCTTCCAGCATCAAAATGAAGAATAGGACATTTTTGGTCTGTGGTTTAACCAGGGCAACATATAAAAATTTCTAGGCTCCGAGTGAGATCAGCAACTATTCCAGATAGAGCAGGAGTCCCCAATCCCTAGGCCACAGCCCACTATCAGGCCTTGAGCCTTTCGGAACTGGGCTGTGGAAGTGGTGGGCGGGTGAGCACATGCGCATGCATCCCCACTTGCACAAGCAGCGTGCAAGCACGCTCCATTTGTGCATGCGGCAGGCACATGTGCTTGGTGCTCACGCAAATGAGTTGCATACGTGTGTGTGCTTGCCCACCACACACGCAGAACCATCCCCTCTCTCCACCCCCACCCCCACCCCCCCACTTGTCCACAAAGCCAAAAAGGTTGGGGAACTCTGAGGTAGAGCTTCCACAGAGGTGACTCTGCTTTGTCCAAACTTATACATTCCCCTTTGGCAAATACCCTTTATAGCTAAGAAACTTGGAATGTGTAAGATTGCAGTTTATGTCATGTTCATCTTATGCAGCATGTGACAGTCACATAATTATAACTTCTCTTAACTTTCTTCCAGAAAACTAGCAAAATCCACTTTAATTTTGATCTTCGTCTTTGGTGTGCATTACATTGTCTTTGTGTGCCTACCTCACACGTTCACTGGGTTAGGCTGGGAGATCCGGATGCACTGTGAACTCTTCTTCAACTCATTCCAGGTCTGATGGCATGGTACTACCTTATCATTTATGAACCTCTCAGATGTTCAGATGTTCAGTTACAAAACTGGCCACATTGCCATATTGCTTGCTGCAAGAGATAACTAATGAAAAGGAATGGCATGTTCCAAAATTCAGCAATAATTGAAAAGCAAATTATACTTACATTGTAAGCATGCAATTTAGTCTGCACACATTTCTTAAACTCTGAAAAGCAACCCTAAAGTCCTCTGGATAAGACTAGGAAGAGAGATGATTCCAAGGGCTTCTTATTTGTCTTTTCTGCTGAAGATGCTGCATAAAAGAAGCACCAGCTTTCCCAGATGTAGCTAGCTTTTGATCTTTCAATTTGATCACAGGAGTATGAATTTGTAGCAAAATTGATTGCATTTCTCAAATCCCATGTCATAAAAAATCTGTTTGCTTCTAAAGCTCCACAATATCCTTCTGTTGTTTTCTCAAAGGATTGGCACAAGAAAGCCCTGAAAAAAGATAAATCGGTAGAGTTTCTTTTGTAAAAATCTTTTCTATGTATGTGACGATCCAAGATTCTTCAGCAGTGTTTGCACTTAAAATCTTTTGCATTAAAAATGTGAAGTAAGCACTGAGCCTACTTTATGAAACAATATAGTCCTTGGAGCAAAGCAAATGAAATGTGATCATGCCATAACATTGAATGCCTTCCAATCTCTGTTGCATGAATGAAAAATACAACAATCCTGGAGGAATAGAATAGAATAGAATAGAATAGAATAGAATAGAATAGAATAGAATAGAATAGAATAGAATAGAATAGAATAGAATAGAATAGAATAGTAAACTTATTATCACTTTGAATGTACGCTAATTGGCACATGTTAAAATGAAATTTTGTTGCAGACAGCTCTCAAAGGGTCACCACCTCCAATATATACTACATGAACGTGACAAATAAATGAATACAAACATATGTATATACCCAAGTATATTATATGACACAGAGAAATTACTATGCTCCATCAAAATCTGATAATTTATTTTGAAATGAAATGTATTTATAACATTTCAGAATCTCTTCTTCTGTTTCCTCTACACCTTTTCCATTGCATCACCCGATTATTGAAGATCACTGTAAAATTAGTTCTAGACTGACAAGAGTGGAATGATATCTTTAAGAAGATACCTCTTACAGATAAAGCTATATTCTTGCTGTGGTTTTAAACAAATCTAAGAACCCCTTGTAACACATTGCAAATATTGTACACATTCTTTCGTAGAAGAATGAGATTATGTGCTTGCATTATACTACAAAATTTATTGAGTCTAGTTTCCCCAGGGCATTTATAAAGCCGAAACCAATCTTAGATCTCTCACAAACTCTTTCTATGAATGTTTGATCATTATACATTCAAAAATAACATAAAACCCACCAGACAGGATGATGGGAGTCTGTTACTCACACAATGAAAATGTTAAATTTACATTATAAAGATTACTAAACCAATCTTAAAACTATTTTTAACACTAACAACAGAACTAACAGTAAAACTGTATTGCTACCTTAATACAGTAGTAAACATGAACCCTAACTCCAATATTATCCAACCCTTAATTTAGTACTATTTTAAACCTTTCCAAACACTAACACTAGTGTAACACTAACTTAATAACACTAGATTTTGTTAGCATTACAATTCGGCTAACCTTAATTCCAATATTGCTCTAACTATATACAACAATCTAGCACTAAATCTAAACCCAACCAAAACTATTTAATCCTATCCATCTAATCTTAACTCCAACCTGAGCCAAACCTAATCCTAATTCGACCCTAAAATTTGCCCATAAAAAGAAATTCTAACTAAGCCTTAAACCTTACATAAATTTAGCACCTAACCACAACTGTAACTTAACCCTGCTGTCAATACTAACCATAAACTTTAACACTCACTTTAGCTATAACTTTACTATAATCTATACAATAACCCTTATGGTAGTCATAATCCAGATTCTTAAGTCCTTATAACAATACTAACCTTAACTGTAACTCTAATCCTGTTACCATAAATCTGGTCCATGCTATAGATATAGATTTTATTGTGAAATATATTCATTTAGTTTATGGGTCAAGGTAATGATAATTACGTTGCTTTTTAAATTCTTATTCTCAATTCCTTCTTCAGGGTTTTTTTGTCTCTATCATCTATTGCTACTGTAACGGAGAGGTAAGTTTCTAGTGAATAATGGATGTGCAGTTGGTGTGTGGGTATGGGTGTATTTTCATACTTGTGCACAGGGATGCCATGGGTTGCCCCTCTGTCTCTTGGGGGGGGGGTGTTCTTATCTGAACCCCCCCCCCCATGTTACCCTCTCCCAACAGTCTTTTTTCCTCTATGGAGAAAATTTGTCTGTCTCTCTTTATTTCAAGGGGATGTGCATGGAAAACTACCTCTGCTTGCGGCTAGCTACCCTTTCTGTAGCTAGCAGAGTGGCTGGGATGTACAGTAGGTTAAATTTACTGTCAAAATGAGTCTGCTGAGCCCCACAAATATGCATTGCTTAATGTTGATTAAGATCAAGGAGCTAATGATTGGAAGAAAGGGAAAAGGAAAATATCAAAGAACCTGCAGGATTTAATTCATAATTCATTTTTCAGGCACAAAAATGGGGGATGGGTTAAAACAAAATAGGTTTATTTACAGAATAGAGTTGAAAGGGAACCTTGGAGGTCTTCTAGCCCAACCCCCTGCTCAAGCAGGAGACCCTATACCATTCCAGACAAGTGGCTGTCCAGTCTCTTCTTAAAAGCCTCCAGTAATCAAGCACCCACAACTTCTGAAGGCAAAAGTTGTTCCATTGGTTGTTTTCACTGTTAGGAAGTTTCTCCTTAATTCTAGGTTGCTTCTCTCCTTGAGTAGTTTCCATCCATTGTTTCTTGACTTGCTTTCTGGTGCTATGGAAAATAAATTGATCCCCTGCTCCTGTGGTAGCCCCTTAAATACTGGAACACTGCTATCATGCCACCCCTAGTCCTTCTTTTCTCTAGACTAGCCATACCCAATTGCTGCAACTGTTCTTCATATGTTTTAGTCTCCAGGCCTTTAATTGTCTTAATTGTTTTTCTCTGCACTTTTTCCAAAGGCTTAATATCTTTTTTGTAATATGGTGACCAAAACTGAATGCAGTATTCCAGGTGTGGCCTTATAAGGTTTTATAAAGCAGTACTAATACTTCATGTTATCTTGACTCTATCCCTCAGTTTATGCAACCAAGGACTGCATTTGCTTTTTTGGCTGCTTGACTCAGGTTTAAGTGATTGTCCATCAGGACTCCAAGGTCCCTTTCATAGTTACTATTTTTGAGCTAGGTTTCATCTAATCTGTACTTTTCTGCCTAAGTGTAAAATTTTGCTTTTCTCCACATTAAATTTCATGTTGTTGGATAGGACCCCTTGTTCTAGTAAGGAAACAACTTGGATCAATCCATGAAACGAAACTGGAAAAACCCAAGGTTCAGCATTTGCATGGATGCCTGTTTCTTTCTGATTCTCCACCTCTTCTCCAAACTGGGATGGATTTCTTACCTGGTTGAAGGCAATCAGGGAACAAATACCATCTCCTCCAGAGTGGGCAGCAAAAGAACAAAGGCAAAACAAAGCTGGCCTCTTCTGAAAGCTCACCTGGAGAAGAGAGCCTTTCTGCTCCCAACTGGTTGTCTAGAATGAGAGTTTCCTAGGTGATGAACTACAAATATTCTCCTTTATTAGTTTCCTGGGTTTTGCTACTCTCTGCCCAGTCTCTAGAATGGCAGATTTAGATTTTATCTTTCGCTTCAGAATTCTGGGAATCCTCCTTTGCTGCAGAATATATTAATTTACCTGAAATAAATATCTTCCTCCCTAGCTGTAGAACAGTAAACAGAAGCAATTATGTCATTTGTCTCTATTGCAATGGTTTGTATATACGGACATGTTCATGTCCAAAGAAGCAAATAATTACAGGTTCAGAATAGGTTTCCATAACTGTATTAAATCCAAATGTATTCATGCTTAGAGTACATTTATTTAAATCAATGGGATTTGTTAGTTACAAAGTTACATAGTGCAAGCTGTATTTGATTAATGTCAACTGGAACTTTCTCTGCATGAGAGAGAGATTATATGGGTTGCCCTGACTCCTAGCACTTATTTACAATTATATGCCCAATGAAATGTTGCCATGGAAGGTGATAGCATGTTTAGTAAGTCAGTATTATTGGATACTGTTTTACAAAAAAAACCCCAAACAATTTAAGTAATAAAGGGTGAATGATGTCCATCTTAACTGAGTGGTCAAGTAGAAGAATAAGTGGGAAGCAAAAGTATGCATCAGAATCTTGCTTATGATTCAGCTCTCCCTTTTAATATACCTGTTCACTTGGTTAATTATCCCTTCAGATTTATTTTTGGTATAGAAAGGAAGTGGAGAGGTCTGACTAATACATTAAGTATCAATCTTAGTATTTGCACAGAATACAAAAAATATTCTTTTGAAGACTTGTAATTTTTCACAGTCACTAGAACCAATATATACATGTAACTTTTATTCTGGAGCATTTCTTGTTTTGCTTAAAATCAATTCTAATCCTCATGACAATGGGAATAGAGTTGAAAAGCTTATGCTCTTAGTGACTTCTTGTTTTCCCATGATATGTGCTGTAGTACTGCTGCTCCATATTCTTTTAATCATAGTCCCCTACTCACTACCTGTTACTTATTTTTAATTATAATGTATTTATTGTATTTATATCCCATATTTCCACTACAGAAGTGGTCAGTAAATACACTCTTCCAATTCATCCACAAAAATAACTCTATGAGATTATTGGCCAAGTGATAGTAACTGGTCTAAAATCATCCAGATAATGTTTTGGTTGAGGGGAAATCTGAACCTGGCCTTTCTCTAGTCCCAATCAATACCTTAAACAGTGTCCTGCACTAGCAAACTATACATTCCTGTGGAAGAGTACATTATATTCAATTGTAAATATAATATTAAAGGAAAAACTTAATTTTAAGTGATGGTGAGATAAACTGTTCAAAACATTGGCTTCTTTCTGGCATTTTGATCTGGACATTTTCTATTTCCTTAGGTGCAGGCTGAGCTCAAGAAGACATGGGCTAAATGGCACTTGGCCATGGACTGGAAGAGGACTGTTCCTTGTGGGAATTCTCACTGTGGTTCTGTCCTCACTAACGTGACTCAGAGCATCAGCAGCCAGGCTCAGATGGGTGCCAGCTCCCGCATGAGGCTGGTTTCCAATAAGGCATGCAGGAATGGCCCAGGACAGAACAATGCCCATATAAATTTGCCTGGGTATGTTAGGAGCAACTCTGAACATGACTGCATGCCCCAGTGGGCTCCGGAAGAGGCTGATGAAGAGGAAGAGGAAGAGAAGAGGCTGGATGGTATTTCTCTCAACAAACCTTCTAGACTACAGAACAATCATGCATGTTTTCTCAAGGAAGAAGCAAACCAAATGGAAATAGAGGCATCACTTTAAAAAGTTGATGTGCAGGCAAAGGATTACAATTGTGAAAATGTCATCACAACTTCATATGAGTTTATTTCAACTAACCTAATCCAGACAGATGTACAGATTTCTTAGCCGGAGGCTTTCTCCGACCAGCAATGTATCCAAAATAATTTTGAGTGGAGATTATGGTTCTTCAACATCTGAACTCTGATCTCTTCATAACAACTTTTTGTTGCATGATATTCCTGTGTTAGCAAGAAGCAAAGGTACTTATAATGATAACATTTAGATGAAGTTATTTTGAGTCAACTGACATATAAAAAGAACTTGCAGAAGCAAAAAGAACCTATATTCATCAGCGATATTCAGTAATAAGTTCTAAATCTTAATATAATTTTGACTTGAAGTCTGTTTACTCCTTAGCAAACTCGCCTTACTATTCAAGGAGCAAATTATTTACTTGCAATCCAGCATTCCACTGAAGTATATCAGTTAATACACAATATACTAAAAACAATGCAACATACAATCAAATAACATCCAGATCGGGGTGAAATCTAAAATTTGTTAGTACTGGTTCTGTGGGCGTGGCTTGGTGGGGGGGTAATGTGATGGTGGGCGTGGCCAACTTTTTTTTTTAACTTTTAAAAGCATTTTTTCTACAACCTTAGGTTGCAGAAAAAAATGCTTTTAGAAGCCTCTGACGATCAGGCAACTCAGCTGGGATTGCCAGAGGCTTTTAAAAGCATTTTTTTTTCTACAACCTCTTCAGCCGAAAAGGTTGCAGGATAAAATGCTCCTAAAAGCCTCTGACGATCAGGCAACTCAGCTGGGATCGCCAGAGGCTTTTTTTTTTTTCTACAACCTCTTCGGCCAAAGAGGTTGTAGAAAAAACGCTTTTAAAAGCCTCTGATGATCCCAGCTGAGGCGTGTGATCATTAGAGGCCTTTTTTTTTTACTTTTAGAAGTGTTTTTTTGGCCGAAGAGGTTGTAGAAAAAATGCTTTTAAAAGTAAAAAAAAAGCCTCTGATGATCGTACGGCTCAGCTGGGCGGGAGGGGGGGCGCAGGGATTTTTTGCTACTGGTTCTCTGAACCACCCGCCACCATCATTACCAGATTGGGCGATCCGGTCCGAACCGGGAGCATTTCACCCCTGATCCAGATGATCTTGTCTTGGTTAGTCTTTGTTAAAGGCTTGGCTTTTCTATCAAGTGTTGAGGCCAAATTATAAACTGAACCTGGCATGGATGACATTTTGACTGTATGACAGTCTCAAAGGCCTAGTTACCCAGAAGTATTTTTTAAAAACTGATATATTGTGTTATGAGGTATCTAGTATCACCAAGTTGAGTTGGGTGATGAGACAAATTTTATAAATAATATAACACGACTAGAAAATACAAAATAGAACATAGACCCCAAGTGGCAATTAATATAGAAATAATAAAACCAGAAAATTCCACAAAATATTTTTTCTTGGCAAAGTAAGATTTAGAATCTTATTATCCAGCTAAAAACTATGGTGGCATAATAAGGGCTCTTTTTTCTTTCAGAAAGTAATTCCAAGTATACTTCCAGTTACTAGTGCCTTTGATTTTTCAAATAGGCAGACATTTTAAACTTATTTCTCTAATAAGAAAGAAGCAAACTCTAAAATTCAGTGCCATTATAACATCAAACAAATGGTTATAAGTTGAGGACTACCTATAAGAATTATTTTGCCCTACATAAAGTTAGGTCTTGCTTTCAGTGAAACACTTTACAGGAAAAGTCTCATAAGAATTCAATGACTTTATTCAAAATGTACAACTATTTGTCTGAAATGGTATAGGATTTCCTGCTTGAGCAGAGGGTTGGACTAGAAGATCTCCAAAGTCCCTTCCAACTCTGTATTCTGTTATTAAGCTTATCAAGATTACTCAGAATAAACTTTAGCTCTAATATGGGTCTGTCACTGGGACCAGAGGTTTAGTCTTTCAAACTTTCAGATTCGTGCTGGAGCCCATCCTCAGGGTACTTCTCTCTAGCAGAATGTGTGCTTTGGGCTATTCTCTGTGTGGTATTTATATGGTGCCTGTTGTGTGTGGCTTTTTAGGTGTTGATTGGGGTGTTGATGGCTAGCTATTAAGTCATTGGCTGTTGTTTCCTTGTGCTACCAAGCCCTCACCTCCTAAGTACTTGATAAACTGGTGGTAAATCAGCACTCCTGTTGACTGACAAAGGGGCCGTTTTCCAGGCTTCAATCACTTCCCTGGTTATTTTTGTGCCTGCTCATCCAACAGTCTTAGTACCTGCAAAATTGAATGTATTCCTTGTTCAGTGCAATGTGAGGCTACCAATGAGTTAGCACGTGTCTGAAAGGTCAGAAAACTAAACCTCTGGACCCAGTGACAGATCAAGATTGGATCCTGCAACATTATCCTGGGACATATATATTTGCCTTCATTCGTAAAATTAATTCTCTATTCATAGAAATCTCGCACACAAGAATTACAGAATTGAAACAATCTTTTGATGCTTTCTTAACCAGTGTAAAGTCAATCTAAAGCTAAAGTAAATATTCGGCAACACATTTTATCTCTGAGAATGTAAAATGCCAACAAGGAGCTGGAAAGATCTGGTGGAACAATAGGTAAACAACAGTTATTGTATTTTTCGCACTATAAGACACACTCCCCCCCCAAAAAAAGTGGGTGTAAATGTCTGTGCGTCTTATAGAGCGAATATTGCAGCGGGGGAGGGGGCCTCACTGCCACCACCGCCTGTCACTGCTGCCACTGTTCACCGCCACTGGGGAATGCTGGAGCCTTCGCTGTCGATCAGCTGATCAGCGGTTGGATCAGCCAACCGGAATACCGCTGATCAGCTGTTCCAGGTGGCGGGGAACCCTGATGAGCCATGTGCTGGAGGTGCGATAACATGCTGAAACTGACCTGGCTGTTTGCTGCAAGGACATTAGCCAGATGAATACCGGATGGATGCTGGGAGGCAGAGGCAGATTTTTTCCCCTTGTTTTCCTCCTCTAAAGCTAATGTGTGTCTTATGGTCTGGTGCATCTTATAGTGCAAAAATTATGGTACTTAATCCTTCCTCTGCTTGCTGCTTTTCTTTACCTCTTGAATTGCCAGATTTACTTTTTGAATGATCCCAAAAGAGGTGTAGGGGAAAGTAATGGTGAAGTAAATGCAAAAACTGATTTCCTGTTTGCAAGTTGTCTCTTTTATGTTACCTTCTCACTCAGCTGCCTTTTGTCCATATTTGTCCCATATTTTGGTGGGGTGATGCCAAACAATTCAATAATGATAACATATAATATTTAAATCAGTGCTAATTAAAAAGTATTTGATTTTGCATGTTTAAATTGGTTACTTGTTTTTCTGTGGTTGAATTATTTATCTATTTTAGAATTGTAGAACTGAATAGCCTTGCCATATGGCTGCTGATAATGCATTAAAATGATCAAATATTGTCAAATGGTCTGTCATATACTGTACATAAATAAATTGTGCTTTTAAAATTTTCCTTCTTTTTTCTTGTCTAATTAAAGTACTGAGTGGTTTTGTGCTTCTTACCAGCCAGTTGTGCCAAATTGGCTGAAATAGTAATGTTTGAGGTGAAGCATGTGCCACCTAAAAATACTTCTGAGAAATCTTACTGATTGAAACGTAAAAGTGCAAAAAGTGAAATAATTTCAATAGTGCATATGCCTCTGGTTAAGCAGAGTAGCGGTATATGACTAAAGATGTTAATCCTTCTTCCCCTCTTTGGGAGATAGATCAATCTCACCTCATTCAAAATAATAAAATAAAATAAATCAATGTGTACCCCAAAACTACTATAGTAATTGGAATGGAAGAGATTCTATGGAATAGATGGGAGTAGCAAGGATCTTCTTTCCCGGTTTGTTTCTGGTAAATGGGTTTCATTGTTGACATGAGATTTGACTTACTAATATCTTACCTTTTAATGCATATACCTGCCAACATGTCAGGGTATGAAAAAGAAATGAATTTCTTATAATGTACCTCATATCCTGTATTCCCACTGGAGTTTTGTCTCTAAGCACAAACCAAGAAATATGTTTAAATAATGAGAGCTTGCTGAAGATGAAGTGGCACTTGTCTCTGTGGAAGAAATATTTCACAAGCATACCAGCAAGCTGTTGAAGTGGCTGTTATACATGCTTATGATATTTCTTAGCAATTTCAGTGCCTGGAAACATTTTGCTTACTTAGCTGACATAGTGAAACTGTCATTCATAGAAAAAAAACCCTGAAAATTCTGCAGTTATTCTTCTATCACTTAGTTGGGTGAAATAATCAAGTTACCATAATTCTTGTTGATCATTCTAGACTCTCAAGAAGCATCAATTTTCATATCAAGTCTATTAATTTTTCCATAAATCTTTTAAAATATAGCTTTATTAACATTTGGGGCACATATCCCAATTATCATAATCTTGGTGTCATTCAAATTAATTTTTCATTTCTACATATATCGCCACAATCATCAGTCAATATTAATTATGGTTATAATTGTGAATTTAATTTATTTTTATTTTATTAAATTTATTTGCTGCCTATCTTGTTCTAAAGTGACTCTGGACTTATGTACAAAACAATCCCATTTTTCTTACTTGCCCCTATCAAAATATACTGTATTTCTGTCTGTCTCAAAAAAAATTTAAATCAAATATTTTGTATCTTTTTTTCATATATAGGTTTCCTGTAGATAAATTACAGTACATTTGTTTTATTTATCTTTTTAAATAATGGAATACATTTTTTTCTTTTGTGTGGTATTTTGCCCCATTGTAGACATTTAAAATCCATATTTATGCTCTTAGTTTAAAAAAGTATGTTCCTGTAGAGACTGACTGATCATTCCTCCTGACCCACCTGCATTTTTTCCAATTTTTAAACCTTTCAAAGATGTTTCTCACCGCTAGGACTAAATTAACCCTCCTTACTTGCAGACACCCCTTGCCCTCTTTCCCTGGACTGTCTAAGGATGGCTCTCGACTTCTTCATGGCCCAAGTCGGATCTTGTAGGACCTTCACCATTCCCTGCTATATCCCTATACTCCTTACCTTGGATTCCCTTGCTTCCCATTTCAACAACCCACATGTCTTGGGTTAGGATGACCACTGGGAGTACCCAGATTGCCATCAGTAGGTGAAGTGGTCACGTTACCTCATGCTTTACAGTCACGTCACTTAGCAGTCACTTAGCAGTGGCAATTCTGGTCCCAATTGCAGTCATAGTCACTTCACCAGTCAGTTTCTCCTGGTGAAGTGGGGCCATGGGATGCAGGTGGGCCTGCTGATCACGTACCTGGCTCCCTGTCACGTGACAGCGGCCCTGCCCGAGCTCCTCAACGTTATTGCTGGGGTGGCGGTTGATAACCCGAGACTTTTGGTCATGGGGGATTTTAACCTGCCATCTGCCGGTGAGGGGTCTGGGATGGCTCGGGAGTTTATGGCTTCCATGACAGCCTGACACAACTAATTCTTGGCCCTACTCACGCGGGAGGACACACTCTGGACTTGGTTTTTGTCTCTGGTCAGTGTTGAATGTCCTGGA